ATGCCACTATGCTGGTCCCCTTCAATTTGCAGACAATATTTAAATAATTTGGTCATACAAAATTTAGGGTCTTTTGCGGTTCAGTCTTAAACGAAGAAGCAATGACAAAAGCAGTTGCGTGCTTTGAACAGAGATTTGTTACCATCGATGCAACGGACAGCACCTTCTCTGAAAATGATGCCCTGGATGGAGGCGCCATCTTTGCCGAGGTAAGGGCTTCATTTGGCGCAACTGCAGTACTCATCATTTTGTAAATGATTGTGTTGTAGTGATCCTGACATTCCATCTTCCGTGATCTGAAATCTTGTATACAGTCATTCCTTTCAGCATTTAACATCCTTTCGGTCAATGGTTGCACGGGAAAAACATGTAAAATGAGCCTTGTATCCACATTCCCCGCCAGGGCGCCATAGGGAAGTTTCAATAAGAAGCAAAATATTGAGCAGCTTACACTGCCCATGATCTCACACTTCACTGGAAATTTTTCACCTCGTGAAGTTGTACCCCTTTCATGCGGCTTATCTCCCACAGATGCAGTATGCTGCTGGGGATGGAAGAAGGAATGATGCACATTCCATACCTACAAATTGACATATACTGGACACATTCTTAAGGTATTGGAATGAACTACCATAAGGAAGATTGATGGCAACTAAGGACTGGTACCTGTGCTGGAAGTAATGGCGCTGGTACCCGGAGTTTGCGCAAACTGGATACCCGGGTTGTACCCAGGTCACCTGGTGCACTCAGTACCCGGTCATTGCTAATATCTGGGTACCCGGGTACGGCCAGTCCCGGGTACAAAAAGATTCTCCCTGGGGCCGATTGTGGGGCGTTGGCCAGCTGCAGTCGACAGCGCTTGGCTGGGTACCATTTAAGGGAGTCAGCGACGATGACGACGCAGCTTGCCTGACGTGCTGTACTGTCAACCGCGCGTTTGGAAGGCACAGCAACAGCCCAGAAAGTGCTGGACGCCTTTGGTCAGCGATCACGTTGACCGATCGCGCTCCAGAATTAATGGCGCCAGAATCGTCAGACGACAACATGCTGCATCATGCTCCAGACCGGGCCTACACCAGAATTATCGCCTCACCCGCTCCACCACTTGCCATCGGCGACGCAGCAACATGGTGGATGTTCCAGCCAGTCGAAATCCCCGATTCCGAGTCGCCGGCGCTCCAGGGTGCCCTCCAAATGCACGGCCCATGGAATAGAGCGTGGCGCCGTGGCCACGTCCATGGACGATCGCGGACGCAGCCACAGGCAGTGCGTTCGGGATGCCCTTCGCAGAAACAAACTCGGGTGCAAACCGAACGCATCTGTTGACCGCTAATCAAACGTGCAGTACCTGGGTCCGTACCCGGATTTGGGTACTGGTCAATACCCGGATAACCCGGGTATCCGCCCTTATCCGCCTGTACCCAGTACGTACCCGGACCCGCCTACCCGGGCACAGTGGTTTAAGGGTACCCTGGCAGGCGGGTACAAGAAAAACGCTGTACTCGCCCTGGACACCTGGGTTTCCGGGTACCACCCCTAATGGCAGAACAGCCTTTCGTGCAAAATGTCGGTAAGGTCCGAAAGGCTGCACTTGTGCGCAATATCGCAATTATGTGTTTTTTAGGCAAAACGGTTGTGCTCAAGATTGGCCGTCAAAAAACAAGGAAATTTGTGCACAACATCGCCATTTCTGAGTGCACAAAAAGAGAAGAGGATGCATGTTCTGTTGTTTTCCTTGACCCCCTTACCGACATTTTGTACGAAAGCTAGTTGCAGACTTGTTATTTACGTTTATGTTTACGTCTACGTTCTCATGTTTACCTTTTACGCGTAGAAAGCAAATTTGCAAGAGGCTATTTTAACGGCAGTTTTTAGGTTTTTGCGGCTCATCGTGACGCCCAGGTTACACGATGGAAATTGCGTACAGTGATCAGCACTCCGCCCACTTGAGCACCCGCAACACAGCATCCACTCCCCGCTCGGCGAGGGCCACGATGGAGTGGAACAAAATTCCTTTTCTTCCCACTCCAGTACGTCTGGATGCCATTCCTTGGAGTCCCGAAAGCTGTATGTACTGTCCTTACGTACACGGGGCTATTTTTACGTTGTTGTTTACGTTTTTTTACGCGTTTTCAAAAAAAAAACTACTCTTACACGTAAAAACGTGCATACGACCTATGCTTACGGCGTAAATAACAAGCCTGCCTAATGGCAACCAAAGTTCGCATCTCAGGTGGCGGCATGATCTCCTGTGCCATTGTTGCGTATACATAAATACCATGGCGCAGTTGCAGTCTTGTTCCTGTTGATGTTGGCTGCTCTTCAGTCTTACGACTTGCAGAATGCCATACATGTGTGAGTAGTGCATGTAATATATGCAAGCCTCGTTAACATGTTGTTGGCCTCGCGTCAGCATCTGAGATCAGCATCTTGTGAATTTTTGAGTCCATTCTCGTGGATGGCTGGCCTGCGCGATATTGGAAGGAATGTTTGGCAACATATAAATAGCGCTATTCAGTTTGCGCCAGTAATAAAACTGCACTGATAAAATTGAGGATTCAAAATTGCTAAGCAAGTTTTCAACTAACCATATGTTTGGGACGCTGCACACTAAAGTTGCGCATTGCCTCATGTTCTGCTCTAAGGGAAATACACTTGCGAGGGCGAATGGACAAATAACACTTTTGCAAACATATGTACATGCATCTCGCCAGTGTACTGCATGCTAAAGATAACCCAAACCCGTAAATTTCCTACACGTTTGCACACGCGTCATCTCGCCCTTTTTGCCCCAATGGACGGGTCTGAAGCTGTATGGGTGGGTGATATCCAGCGGCATTCCTTCCATTTCAGCCATCTTAGCAATTTTGGGCCTGTTTGGCTTACAGCCCATCCCACCATACCCTACTTACCACCACCCACCTTATGGCCCATTCATGGGGTTTGAGAGCCACTCGTCACCCTTCGCCAGAGGGGCTCTGACCCTTGTTGCTCCAATTGGGGCACAAATGCCACTAGCAGTGTGGCCACTTTGGCCGCTGTATGGGTGGGGCGGACTGTGGTGGCCCACCTCCCTTGCAGATATGGCACTCTAACAAAGACATTTGCCCAAGCAATGCATATGTTTCAATACATTTTCATCAATATTCATGTCAAGCATGATAAGAAATGTGCAGAAGCAAATTGGTTCAGTTTCACATTCTGAAAAGTTTCCAAGCAGCAGAGAAGTACCAATTCCATAACAGTCATCAAAAACAACTGCAACCAATAGTCAAGCATCCTTTTACGCAAGTGCTAGTAGATCAGCAGAATTGGCAGCGGCACTCACAAGGCAATACGCATGTTCGCAATAATCTCCTCTGGGAAAGAATCATTCATCTGCTCAACTGTATCCCAGCGCACTGTAGTGTCACAGTTTTCCGTCAATTGCAGTATATGCGCAGCCAGTTTCGATTCCATCAGTTTTCTGTGCAATGACGGGTATGGTATCTCCAGACAAGCATGTGCATTGAGAGAGACCACACTTGACCCCTTTGGTACAATGGGCAGCATGGAGAGACCTTCAGGACTCTTTCAAAGTGGGATGTTTCATTGAAATCGTCCCGCTGCGCTTTACACAAACTAGTTGCCCGAGTCGTTCTGCTGCCGTCGATCTTGGTGATATCCTGTCCAGTCTGTGCAGCAGGTGTCTGTCGACAGGTATGCTGCTTTAAGTTGTGCATCTCTGTGTGGAGGAGAACTACGTTGGCAGAACAGCTTGAGATCAAAGATTCATTCCAATGTCGCAAGCCCAAAGGGATTAAGCATTGGCAGCAGAGAGAAAACGCAATTGCACCATTGGTAGAGATATCTCCATTCAAGAGGAAATGGAATTACAATATTTTGATCTTGAAGGTCAAAATATGGCTGACAGCGGCCAGAGCGACCTTCCCAGTGCGCGAACAAGACCCTTAGAGCACGTGTTCTTTGATTCTCGACACCAAGCCTTGTCAGACAAAATTGTAACGGCAGGCGCAAGTCCGCAGAGGCAGGGAGGCCAACAGGACGTACAGACCCCAGACGGCCTTCGGGTACACGTTGAAGGGGCAGACAGCGCTGATCGGTGGTGGGCAGTCAATGGCGATCATCGCAGCCATCGGTGATCAACACCTGGTGCAAGTGATGAAGCCCGAATTGATGATCAGCAGATGGCGGGGCGGGTAGGGGCCCCAATGGGTTGGTGGCGCAGGGATGCGAGCTGCCACGGACTGTTGTGGGAAACTTGTGTGCACGACGAGTGTTGACGATTTTGGGCGGCTGGCGGAGCCAGCAGCCTGTGCTCTTTTGATTATTTGGGTCGGGGCGGCAGTTGCATTGTGCGAGTGGGAGCAGTTGGTGCGCAGCACAGTGGTCGGCTGCAACGGGGACGGGGAATATCGCCACGCCGGGTGGGAAGCGAGCTGCTCGGCGCTACGCTGGTGGGAAAACGTTCCAAGAGAGTGAGTGCTGCTAGGTCAGGGGCCTGCCTTCCAGTTGGGTGAGCCAAACGCGGAGGCGCAATGTGACGACCATGCCAACCGACGCCAAATTGGCATCAGAAATTGGGGCATCGCTGTGTCCACCACATTGTGTTCAGCGCACAAAACAACTTACAAATGGTCTTGTCAACTGAGAACGCGTCATCGCACACAACAGCTGTGAGTTACAAAAAACAAAACCACAGCCACGAATGAATAGCAGCGGCCAACGTGTCTCATCTCTGCTGCGCGACTGAGCTCTGATTGCATTCTTGAGCAATCGACTTGCTGTTCAGGTTCCTTAGCGAACAAAGCACACAGCCCACAGATCCCTGTGCAAAATAATACATCTGATTGCGGGTAGCCAATTACCAGACATCCAAAATAAGCCATTGAACAATTTCCCGGACAACACCAATCAAAGGCACAACATCGAATCCCTTTGTACTCATTTATCCATTCACTTCCTAACAGGTAGCTTGCGATTCGGACAAGAAAGTGTGCTCATGAACCCCAATTCAATGAGAATTCTGGAATGCCAGTGCTGGGAACATGAGTGATCAGACGGCTTCGAATCTTCTGGGCCCAATACTGCCCGAGCATGGCAAGTACCGCTGCAACGAGAGCCATCACAGCCATCCGCGGTTCAGCAGTTCTGTGGGAACATAGTCAACAATACTGTTAGCACAATGTCGCACTTCAACGGAAGGTAGAATCAGAAATATGAACGGAATGTACTCAACAGGATTTCCCGCCACTGGCAGACCAACAATCACAGCTTAGTTCTAATAGTCGAGCATGACTTCAATGCCCGACATCTCCAAACCTGCGATGCACCATGAGTCCTCCTGAGTGGTTCACCTGTATGTAGTGATTGTAAGTTAAGGCAATCAATCATCTGGATCAATCCTAATACTGGTAATTGGAGTGAATTGAAATGTCTCCCCTTGAGCTTTTATTGCTTCCCAATATTGCTGTCTGTTTGCGCTTGGGAGTTAAGCGCCAGAGCAATCCAAACTAGCTACATGGGTCCATTGCTTGATCTCTTCCATGTCGCTGGAAACAGCGGCAATGCAGGCGCTAGCTGCTGTCAAGAATAGAACAGGGTTCGTGAACAATGAACTGAAGTTCCTGTGGATCGCATGCGCTACTGTCCATCCATTAGAATCGAATCATAGCTTTTTTTTGAGAGTGTACTGACAACATTGAGAGCTCACAAAAGAGATATTGTCTGTTACTCAACAGGCGCAAGCACAAGAGAACGAGCTTCAATGCGCAAATCATTCTGGCATTAATGGAAAACTGTGCACAACTCCATAATTGCACAGATACGTCATGATTTCTCCCTTGCATTATATCCAAAAACCTTCCTTTGACAGACGTTTCTCTGCCGAATTAACTTGACTTCAGGAAAGAGCAGCATAGTCATACATGAAAAGCACTGAAACGCGTTCCAAACTTGCCTGAATGCCGCCAATGCGGCTGAGACTCCCAGTAGACAAATGGCAACCTTGGGAAGTGCAGATTCCAGGAAACCAAGAGTCTTCAGCGTCTTGCGACATGTTGCACAGTACTTGCTGTGCTGCTCCCACCTGTTGAAGAGGTCAGAGTACTTTATGTTCTCAATGGCCTCTTTCTCCGACTGCCCTCCATACCATTTTGGTCCTCCACCTCCAAAGCGGGTCAGCCATTGACGAAAGTTGACAACACCAACATCGGAGAGGGTGGGCAGGTAGAACTGTTGCTGCCACGGTCTGTTGCTCCTGCAGTGTCGTGCAAGACTCTTGGTAACTCTAAGCATTTGTGAAATGATGCAGAACTGCAAGGCTCTTGTGAAGCAACTATGACGGCCTCTTCTTGCCACTGGCAATGCTGTGCAAAATGGGCAACAAACAGTGGAACATTAACCTAAGGAAAGAACTGAAGATATTGATTCTTCGATGCATCAGTTCAAAAAGTATTTCTGCAAGTCATGAACATTCAGTTCCCACTTTTTAACGTGCATCTACAATGGAACTTGGGAATTGTGATTTTGTTGCATCATTAGCAGTTGAGAGTGCCCACCCACACCTGAATAGCTCAAGGTCCTCAGTGTGCAACGTCACCATGTCCTGCCGACTTATGTAATTCTGTTCGTTGATGTGCCTCAGAAACTTCGGTACAATCTTCATCTGGATGAGGCCAAAGATGAGCGAAAACGTCTTCATTGCCAACACCACCTTTTGGGAAAAGCTTGCCTTTTCTTCAGTCGATGTTTTGAGGGGCTTGCTGGAGATGCCAAATAATGTACGAGTAAGGCCTGGACGGCATGGTACCCAGTGCAGTTCAAAACTTGTATCACTGGGCATACCACTGGGCTGTAATTGTATCGTGGTCAGGGTTGGAGGCCGGAACAGCGTTTCCTGAATGGAACCATTGTCGTCCTTCGAAGGGGCGGTATACTGAATGTGGATGCCTCCCTTCTGAGAGGGACGCTGCAATGCCTTGAACACGTCGATTGTACGATTATGACGAGGGCTGAATTTCGACCCAAAGAAGCTTTGGCCCTCGTGCGCAAAGTTTGCATGGCTTGGGTCTACGACATTCTCCACCGATGTGACGTATGATACGGGCACATCCACCACACCCCATTTTGCCTCAGGACCCTGCACCCTGCCAGATGCAGGTTCTGCAGAAGAGGCGTCCTCCCAAGCAGAGGGGCTGTCATCAGGCCACACCCACAACAGGCCATGTGCCTCAGTTGTGGGGAATGCCTGGACCCTGGAGCGAGAGCTGGCACAAGCTGTGGCCTCAGAGGCGGCATCGACGGCCTGGGGAATCCGGGTGCACTCTCCCTTGCCATTGAAGCACCAGCCTGGTAGAGGCACAAGAAGGTCAGGATGTGAGCAATGGAAGGACAAAGACTCACTGTGATAGGAAAGAACCTGTTTTGCACCATAGGCGCCCCCTGCCAAAATTAGGTGACGTACTCTGAAAAGATGCGGAGGTGTCCAAAGGAAGAACGAAAAATAGGCAACATCTGTGCACAATGCATGGAATTAAAACATAGACCAAAGCTGGGTGCCCGTGTCATTGAGTTCCCTGGGGACAATGGTGACGCTTGGTTTGCGGCAATGCCACCCTGATTGGCTATAGGTCAGTTAATCAGCAATCTCTGAATTGCTCTGAATTTGGTAGTCTTGCAGTGTAGGCAGATTTCTGGTGATGGTTCGGGAAGGGCTGATCTCCAGAGGAAAACGTCCACAAGAAATCAATGCCTCGGGAAATTACACCAACAAACACACTTCCTCTGTCCCAGAATAAACTGCAGTTATATGAACCATGGGCCGGGCAAACCTTATACGACATGTCCATAGCGCGTCACAAGTGACAGTAACAACCGCCCTGCCTTCGCAACTCCGTAATCTGGGCCATTTTGTCAGCAATGCCATCCCTTTCCCGGCCGCACACAACACAGCTCACCGTGGTAGCGACACGCCAGGGTGCCGTCCTCCTGCACGCTCCCCAGCGACAGGGCCGCCAGCCTGTGCGAGCACCGGTCCTCCACGGCCCGCCACTTCCCCTCGGCGTCCTTCCACAGCACGATGTTCCGCCCAAGGATGGCCTGCCTCTGAATCTGCGGCAGCCCGCTCTCGAATCCCTCCCCTTGGCTCTCCTCCAGCAGATCCAATGGAATGATCGGATACCAATTCTTCGTCCATTGGAACGTCTCATCTTCGGAGGCGACCCCATCCTCCGTGGACGCCTCGTCCGCGGGAGCTTCCACGTAGCCGATCGCGGGCCGCGGATCGAATTTCGGCAAAGGTTTCCGCGCAGGCAACAATGGCCCGCGGCCAGGCCTGGCCGCCCAGGTACCGCATCGAGCACGCGGCGGAAGAGGGACCAGCGCGGGGCGGCCCGCCAGCCAGCGCCCAGCGGTCGTGGCGGGGAGCATTGTAGCGACTGGCGTTGCTTGGTTGCTGCCGCGTGTGTTTTGTCGTAGGGGTTTGGCACACCTGTGGCTGCAGCGTGCAACGACTGGGTGACGTCTGCCACACACTGCATCACACCTCACTTTCCCTTGTTCCCCGCCCAACTCGTCTGGATCCTGTCGGCCGTACACTTGATTCCACGGCTGAAAGCACTACTTTATTTGATGTCCCGGGCTGGTGCCGCTTGCATGTGCTGGATGTCGCCCGAGGGCTGGGTTGCATCATCCCCGGGGATTGATGTCCGCCCGAGAGCCCCGGATGCGAACTGGGCGGAGTCGTATTTCTGGACGTGCCCATGATGCGAAGCGCAACAGTGAACGGTATGTCAGAAAAGTACAGAGCAAAATTGTAATACTGCAATATCAACATGCCGAAGGTTGGATATATTACACTATCTAAAACCGCCATCGCGCCCCGTGCAGTCACATCTCGCGTATCAGCCCCTGATTAGGGGATGTGACAGGCGGGCATCACCAACCCCGGGGAGATGTGACAGCTGGCTGTGTACTCATGCGCTCCTACCCCTGACCAGTACGATCACAGACTGGGATATTGGCGCACATTCCAGCCTCCGATGGCATGACTCACGGGCCGTGGTGGCCCCAAGCGTCCCATCATTACAGTGACCATGCGATTGCAGGTTGGAATATAACTACGCTACAAGCGCTGAACTCTCCAGCCACAATGGCTCAATGACGATAGAAAGCAAGGGGGAAAATATCAAGGGACAAGTTTGCTTGCCCCTGACTGGCCTCAGATAATTTTTTCCTACATTCCTCATTGCAGTGCACCTGCGCTCTGCAGTACACACGTGCACCGCAGTGTCTTTTGTATCCCCATACGATTCAAGCACCACCAACCTGCGGGTCCACTTATGCATCTTCCCCTCAGTGCTGCAACCCAAAACAAGGTGCGCACCGAGGCGCTGGTGGCTGCCCATGGCGGTCGCCCTACCGGTTGACATGCAACGGTCACGCCGATCGCCCCAATTGTTGTCGCTTGCCTCCATAACGATTTGAATTTGTACCCCCCCCAACAGTGCCCACATCCCGCGCCGGCCTGCGTCGGCCGGCGTCAAGGATCTTTCGCAACACCTTTGTGCTCGCCGGCGCCAGGCTCGTTTCCCAGCTACTGGCCGCCAATGGCCATGTGCCAAAGCCAGGCCCCCAGGCCCCGATGGCGGTTGGCCCTCCCCCCTAGACCTTCGCGGTTGGGATCGCAAGGTGCGCCCACAACTGGCCCCCTTGCACCTGGCAGCCAGATTGTACACCTACCCGGATTCATCCCGTTGAACATCCCCCCCTCCCGCCCTCGTCGTCGCGATTCCAACCCAGCGACTGCGATGATGCTTGGCGGATCTAGGCGCATTGCGCCACTTGATCCATTTCTGCGGGGAGGCTGGCCCGCTAGCCCGTGCGCCGCTTCCATCTTACGTATGGCCTCTCAGTGCAGCACACCAGCCCATGGCGAGGAACCCACAGTGAGTGGCAGGCGGTGCCCAGCTTCCCCCGCATGTGTGCCGTGGATGCCACCAAGAGCCCATGTATGGGAGCATAATGGGTGCGCTGTGAGCGTCATGAAGTTTACTTCTCGGGTGACCTTACCAAAACCATTGTCGTATGCGGGAATGCCGCTGTGAAAAGATGGCAACGATGACTGACGATGCTTAGCGACAGGCATCAAACAAGAAAAGACATCAACAGCACCAGTCGAAGACAATACATTGAGGGCAGATCAACCGATGTAAACTACTAAAATACACAGCTGGGCGACGATTACAATGACTACGGGGCCGCTACACTATAGAAATTCACTGAGAGGTACACGGGGCATCACAAAGTACGGGAAACACAGTCACGCGAAGGTCGAGACGACTGTGAAGCCAAGACGTCATGAAGACGTCACAGGAGCTGGATGGACAAGACTCAGTACACAACAAAGTACTAAATACCCACGGCCACTCGAGGGCCTCAGCCACTAATGCAGTGCAATGGCAAAAGGCGTCACCGAGACAACCATATACACACTCGGAATATACTAAACTACTGGATTGAGACACCCACACGCAGCAACGGGGGCGGGAATGGTGCTGCCATGAGAATCGTCACAGGGACACCGCCGAAAGAGGCTTTGGACAACTTAAAGTACAGGGTAACAACACTGGAGGGCAGCCGTGGCGGTGGAGGACGATGTCATGGCGAAAGGCATCACCAGGACCGAACGAAACACGCCCAGGACACCGCAAGATATTTAGTTCAGGCATCCAGGCGACATGGGCAACGTCCTGGCGACAGTCGTCGCCAGGGCGGCACGGGAGAGATTCACAACACCGTTATGTACTGAAAGGAGGCGCACGAAGGCAGCCACCGCTTCGAGGGCAAAACAATGGCGAAAGACATCCCAAACGAGTGATGGAAGAGTAATAAGAGAGTGAGGACTGATGGCAGGAAGCGCCAGAACGGTAGAAGCCGCGACAGGAGCTGTGAGGACATTTGCACGTGGTGAAAGACGTCGTGGAAGGAAGGGAAAAGGGCGTAAGACATCAGCGCATCAAGTGCTGCAACAGAAGCTAGGGCAAGAGACAGGAAGGCCACCCGGGGAGCACCACAGAAGGAACATGATTACAAGTAATTAAAGCACTGGAAATACAAGAAAATGTACAGCCATTGTCACCAAGAAAGGCCAGGAAAATGAAGAAGTGAACACCTCGAAGAATGACCACCCATCTGCACGTATATTGACGACTATGAACAGTTTTGAGGGCACTCATTATTCTACGCCGTCCTTCACTGTTCTGCACCACCATGCCCCTGCCCAACTGACGAATTTGACAAGCGTGAGGACCGCATACAGCCACGCCGTTATGCCACCCTAAATGAAGGCTAAATGGAGGACCATTTCAGCAGCCAAGTCGCCTTGATGATGCAACACCCGGCAGCTGCTTTTGCATCACTTCGTGAGGCGCTCTGACGGCTCAGGAGAGGCGGGATGATGGCCCGGGAGTGGATGACGTTTGGAGGAAAACGCACACCTGTAGAGATGGCTCTAAAAATGGGCATCTTGCTGGCGAACGAATGAAGCGACGAGAGACATTGGTCGCGCTTGGAAGTGACACTGATTTCACAGGGTCCTGTAGTACAATGAACCTGACCGCTTGGATGATAACACATGGCTCTGAACCGCTTCTGTCACACTTGGAGAGCACTTAAAGCCAGCGCGACGCATTCTCTTTCACATAGTGCTCGTACTCACTCAGGACACGGTTCATCTCTTGTTACTCTTAAGTCTCCCTTCCTCTTGTCCTTTGGCGTCTTTGAGGCTCGTTGCCCTTTGGGCAAGTGGTTTGCAGGGCGTTGCGCTTGCGACCCCTATCCTGGGCCATGGGATTTGTGTTTTTAGGCCTTCCGAAGGCTCTGGGCCCTCTTCCGTGATCTGAGGCCTCCCTGGCATGTAGGCCAGGGCCAAGCGGAGGCACAATATGACAACATAGGCAATCGGCGCCACAATTGGCATCAAAGCCTGGGACACCCTTGTGTTCAGCATACAGAACAATTTACACATTGTTCCTCTTAATTAACAACCCATCAGTCACATGAATCAGCTGTGCACTACCAAAACTATAACCACAAATGAACAACAGAGGCTAGCATGTCTCATCTCTGCTGTACAAGTCGGCAATTATTGCACTCTTGAGAAATCGAGTTGCTGTTCAGAATCCTTTGCAACCAGACACATGGGCTATAGATTCTTGTGCAAAATAATGAAACTGATTGCTAGTAGTCAATTACTATACATCCAAGACAAGGCCCCTAAATAGTTTCCTGGACAACATAAATAAAACGCACAATAATGAATGCCTTTGCACCGATCTATCCATTCATTTCCTATTAGTAGCTTGCTATCCGAATTACTAGATGTAATCATGACCCCCAATTCAATGATGCAAAGATCTATACCGATACATGGCACGACCCTTCGGGGTATGCACAACAGAAAGAGACATGCGCAAGCAACGGAGTTGGGAGCCATATACAATGTGCACAGGGGTGACGTTCCCCTTCACAAAGACGCTGAGTTTCTCTCCCAAAGGAGACCCACTCGCCTGACCTTTAGGTCCCACACTCGTCACATGAGGCGGCCTGCTTGGTGCACTGGTCACAAGGCAAAATTTCTTATAGACCAAAGGCAGCTACACCGCACAACCCCACCGCTTTATACAACTTCATTTATAGGACCATATGACAATAACAAAGGTCGCTTCAAAGGTCTATTCCAAAGGGCCAATCAACCCAAAAAGGCCAATACCCGCAACCCCAACCAATCCATATAGGGTAACCCAAAGGTCCAACCGCTCAATGTCCCCTCAGCATACCCTTCTCATCACTCCAAGGGTTCCGTCAAACTCACCCAATCCCACTAATCGCTACAACATACGAAAAAGTCGTTTTAAATTAAAATTATAAAATGTTGATTTCCACCAAAGAGGCCATTGTCACTGCATGGTCCCACGTGGATCATTGACGTCCCATCATCTCAATTCGGTGAATGCTCCAGTTGTCTAGCTCCATCTCCAGTTGTCACATCACCAGAATCCGTCCGCATGCATGTCTTCCCCTTCCACCACAATCACCCATGCTTCTCTATGGGGGGAGGCGACTCCCGCTCAAAATCTGGCTTTTCTTTATGCCCCTGAAGCCATCCTAGCACCTTGGCCTTCACCGCGTCAAACTTCCATCTAAATTGTATGACCTATGCCCTTGCGTTCCATCCTTTAATAGCCTTTTGTAGTGTGGGTGAAACCACGTTGCATTTAGGTGGCTCTGGAGGTAGCCTGGTCAAGACTCGCCGCTTCTCTATCAATGCACTCAGCAGCACATCCCTCAGATATGCATCATCCAATCTCTGCACGTTGAGGCGCTTGTTGAAGAAGTCACTCATAATTCGCCACTGCTCTGCCTGAATC